TGTATTAACTGGGATGGAGGGACAGGGCGCAGAACAGCACAGCAGACAAAGGCCAGGCTCTGAAGCCTTCTGCATATCACAGCTCTGTCATTGGAAGCTGTGTGACCTTGAACCAATCACTTTACCTCTCTGTGCCTCAGTTTCCTTGCTGGGTATAACCATGGCACCTACTTCACAGGGTTCTCAAGGGAACCAAAGGAAGTAACACTTGTCGGGGGGGCCAAGCCACACCCTTCAAAGTCCAGCTCTTCACCCATCAGCTGCTCCTGGCCCGTGTAACATTACACTGATGTATTCCCAAGCACCGGAAGCTCCAGGCTGGGGACATCCCAGGCCTGCTTATACTTGTGAAAATGGAGCAGCACAATGTAAGAGGCAGACAGAAGGGCTGGGATTTCTGCAGAAATGAAGGGGAAGCAAGAAGGCACGAGGTAGCAGGGGGCTTCTCCTCCCCAGCAATGGTCCCACCCCACGCTCACTGGTGAGCATAATGAGGGACAGGTGGAGCAGAAACCTCAGCAGAAGGGGAGGGGTCCCCGGCCAGCCCCCTGCTTCACTGCAGCATAAGAAGACACCTGGAGCCTGGCGGAGAACTGCACCCAGAAAACAACAGTTATAACAACCAACATCCATCCGAGAAATGCTGATGGAACACCACTACCTGCCAACACTGGGGACCAGTGTGAAGAACCCAGAGGAACTCAACCCCCGCCTGCACAGAGCCCATGGACCACACGTGAAACAAACAAGGAACACCGAGCCAAAGTCGATGGTGGCTAGCGGCTAGAAATCAAGCAGGAAACGTGTGGGGAGATCAATGTTCAATCAGGTGCTGGGAGAGAGCTGATTTCAAGAAGCTTCGGGAAACAGGAACTTCCCTGGAGCTCCAGTGGCTAAAACTCCACGCTCCCAAAGCAAGGCACCCGGGTTCAATTCCAGATCCCACATGCGTGTGTGCTTAGTAACTGAGTCATGTCTGACGCTTTGCAACCCCACGGACTGTAGCCTGCCAGGCTCCTCTGTCCATGGGATTTCCCAGGCAAGAATACCGGAGTGGACTGCCACGCCCTCCTCCAGGGGATCTTCCCGACCCAGGGATAGAACCTGTGTCTCTTATGTCTCCTGCATTGGCAGGCAGGCTCTTTACCACTAGTGCCNGACAGGGAACAGAATGGGTCTAGAGTCAGGACACCAAACATCCTGTTCCTCCTTCCCCTGACTTCTCTCTCCCTTCTCGCCGGCCACCCCAGTCCCACTTCCCTCCAGACACCTTCACAAGCTCCCCTAGACCTAGCCACCCCATCAATCCTCCAGAGTCACCCTTCTCCTCAGGCTCAAACATCACCTGCGCTCCCGTCAGCGCAGCCTCCTTCCCACCACCCCCTCCCGCCCACCTCCAGACCTTCCCTCATCTCTCCTCTAGGCCTTTCTCTGCCGCCCCTCCCACCCCAAGGCCTGCGTCTGCACCCACCCGCGCCTTCCGAGCATCTCAGCCAGAAGAGAAATCCAATTTGCGTGAAGGGCTTGGGGTAATTCTGTGTCGAGGCCACGCTTCCCTGTCTGCCTGTTGAAGGAGGCTGATGCTCCTTCTTAGAGGAAAGAGAAAAGCCTCCTTTGTGCCGGGTCTGGGGAGATCGTGTCTGTTTAGGACAGGCTGCAGTTTTCTTTGGGAACCCTGTAGATTTTTTTCAGTGTTGGAAAAGGGGCTTATTAGATTTCCCTGTGGCTGCCCAGAGTGGGGAGAGGTTTTTACCCCGAGCACAGAAAGAAATTACCAAACAGGCATTTGAGAGGAAGGAGCATTTAACAGCTGCCTCTCATGGAGAGGTTAGGATTTCGAGGTTGGTGTTTTCACTGGAGTGAACATAAAATACAGAGAAAGGAAGAAAACCTTTCCTGTAGTTTCAGGGTGGGAGGGAAGGAAGTTGGTTGGCCATGTTCTGCGGGGAGAACAGGATTTTGTTCCTGGGGGGGTGGGCAGGAGGGGCGTGTTGGGGGGTGTTTTTTTTCCCCTTTCCAAGTAGAAAGAAATTTTAAAATGGTCGCAGAACCCAGAAGGAAGGTTGTCATAGCAACAAAAGTTTGAGGCCAGGTACCTCCTGACACCCTTTCAGCACCACGGCGGCAGTGGAGGGGTAGGAGCTGGGCACCATAGGATCTGCTGGGGAAATCTGAGCCAAGTTTGGCTCAGACTTCCCAAATTTCTCACCAACATTGACAGGCTGATAACTATTTTCCAAGCTCCCAGGGAGGAAAATTGTGATTTTCTGGGAGGGGCGATCACTAATCAACAGTGATCAAGAGGAAACAGAAAAACTGTGGGTTTGTTTTATTTACCCAACAAACTAACCATCCACGTTTTTACTAAGAGAGGACTGCAGGTGAGGGTCTTATGCTGAGCCCTCTCCAAAACTGGCCCCTTCTCTGACCCCCAACTGCACGTTTCTCTTCTCTGATCACTTCATCTGGATTCCTTTCTGCCCCAGGAAGACGACTCAGGCCCCCTCATCAGGTGTGAGGCCAGACAAGAACCTCTCTTAACTTCAAACTCCTCATCTGAAAAATGGGCACCATAGAAGTGCCTGCCACGCAAGGGTGTTCAACAAGATTTCACAGGTGAGACGTTTTCACAATGCCCAGTACACATCAAGAGCTCGATAATTGTGAGCTAGCATCGTTTTCAATTTTTTTAATTAACATTCCTTAATGCTTAAAGAATTTAAACATCCTGTGTGGGGATATGCATATAGATATCGCTGATTCACTCTGTTGTACAGTAGAAATTAACACGACACTATAAAGCAACTATACTCCATTCAAAAAAATCCTTAACATCTTGTGTCAAGCCCTGAATGAGCCACACGATGAGCTACAGGGAAATAACGGCAACAGTTCGGGGCGTGACCTTCAGGAAGAGGCCTGGAGGGACTTCCAACAATTGAGAGGCTAAGCTGGCGAGTGAAGACCCTGGCACTTCCTGGAGCAGAGACGGGACCACCAGACACAGTGTTGGATCTAAGTGTGTGCATAAAGGAAGGCACAGGTGGCCTGAGAGTTTCCACGAGGAGAAACTTGGTGAGAGGTAGAGGTGAAGTGTGGGGGACCTCTACCCCCAAAAGGGTGCAGATCCTTTCCAGGATAAGGCATTCTAGGGCCTCTGTGGGAGAGGACTGGGATGAGTGGAAAGCAGGGAATTTTAGCCAAGATGTCTTTTAGGGTTAACATTATTATTATTATTATTATTATTATTATTATTATTACATCCCAGAGTAGAATCCTCATGTCCTGAGTGCATGCCAGAAGTAAGTCTGATGGGGTGAACCCTATTCAGGGCAGGACCCTATTCAGATGGTCTTTGGCAAACAGCCAGTATCAAGCAAGTGGTGCCATAAAAGTTCAGTGGGCCACCCCCAGAGACAAGACAGAGCAGGCAGCACCCCAGGAAACCTCCAGTCCATGATCCCGAGGCCTCGTGCAACATTTATCCTGCAAATAGGTACTGAAGACCTTCTATGCGCTAGACAGTACCCAGAGACTGGACATGGCAATGAACAAGATGGCTAGGGCCTTGCCCTCATAGAGTGTCAGCCTATGGGGACAGGGGACAAGAAGCTGGTGGCCAAAGGCATACCCCCAGAAAACTTCAGGTTGTGCCAAGTGTGATGGGGGAGATAAAAGTGGCGAAGAGATATCAATACAAAGATGGGAAGACTCTGCCTCCAAAGAGGGACAGGGAGGTCTTCTCTGCAGGGGACCCTGCCAGGAAGTCCCCCTGGAGCAGAGGGGGAGCCAGCCAGGGAAGACATAGGGAAAAGCATTCCCTGCAGGGACTGCAGCCTCCCTGGGTTTATTTCACACCTTTTTCCCTCTGTCGTTTCTACCAGTCAGGCCAAAGCCTAACTCGGGGCAAACTGGAGGTTTGTGGCCCACTCCTGTCTCCGTATGACTACACACATAGCCCAAGTTGACATCTGAGAGCTAGGCGACAGATGGAGAGTTTTAACCTTGGGGAGAGAGGTCAATTCACTCAAGAGGGTTCCCACACTTGGAGCAACATCCTCTCCACCGTCCGGGAGGTTCCGCGTGGCGTGGACCAGCGTCCCCAGCATGGGGTAGCACCGCTGTCAGGCAGCTCTCCCCGGGGTCCTGCCCCAGCCTCGCTGCCTGCCTCGGGGACCCTCATTCCGGCACTGGCCGCCTCCTGCGAGTATAGGCAAGGGCGCAGTTGGATCCGTCTTCTGAAAAGTCACCCCCTTCCCCCCGCCTCAAACCCCCCAACCCCCACCTCAATTCTGATCGGATCCTCGCAGAGCTGTCCCTCTTTCCTGCCTGCCTTCTCTGCCTCCCGCCGCGTCTTCTCCCGGGTCGGGGGCCGGACGCAAAGCGCTCCTTGTCCCTTGCAGGGAACCAACCGGAATGCCACTCCTCACTCCCCAAGCCGGGGCTAGGAACCGATGAGCGCGGGTTGGGGTGCGGGGAAGAATGACCCCCTGGGCTCCGGGCTCTGTGGATCTGCGGTGGGAGGGGGCAGCAGATAGCAACAGTCCCTGCAGCAACATCCCCACCACCCTGGGCGGGACGGGATGGGGTGGTGGGAGTAGCCAGAGCCCCGCAAAGGGAAAAGGGGAAGGGGCGAGCGTGAAGATGAGTTCTGGCGCGGAAAGGAACGCGCGCCCCGCCGACCGGCAGCCGGGGCGGGTGGCCGGGAGACGCGCCTCCCCAAGGCGCCTGGCGCTCGGAAGGGGCAGGAGCTCCGCTTGAACCTTGAAACGGTGGAGCGTCCCGAACGCCCAGCATCCTACAGACACCACCACCACCACCACCATCCGGCGACCTGCCCACCGCGCTCCCCGCACCCGAACGCTGGGCCGGCCGAGCCTGCGGAGCGCGGGGCACGGCGTCCTGGCGGCGGCGCTGGGCCCCCAGCCCGAGCGCGAGGAGGGAGCGCGCAGCCCCGGGGGAGCCGGGAGCCGAGCCCCGGGGCGCCGCCGCTCACTCACCGAGCCCGCCGAGCTCCTCCTCGCACGAGTACCAGATGCCGGTGTGGAAATTCCTGAAGAGAAAGCGGTCGTCTCCCGTCTCCCAGCTGTAGAGCGCGCCGCCAGGGGGGCCGTTCCCGGCGGCGGGGGCGGCGGGGACGGCGGGGGCGGCGGTGCCGTTGGCCGTGGCGTTGGCGCCCGAGTTGGGGCAGTTGGCGTTCCCGCCCTGGCCGCAGCCCGGCTTGGGCACCCGCTGCGTGCCCTGGCACCAGTGCGTGGTGAGGAAGGCGGTGGTGGCGAAGAGTAGCGCCAGCAGGTTCAGGGCCACGGCCAGGAGCGCTCGGCCGCGGCGGCTCGTCTTCATGCCGCCCGCGCCGCCACCCGGAGCGCGAGTGCACCTCGGCGAGGAGCCGCGGGCGCCTGGCAGCGGCCACGGCGCAGGGACGCGCGCCCCTCCGTGGGGAGACACCTGCAGGCGGCCGGAGACACTGTTCTGGCTCCCGCCCTCACGGGGAGAGGGGGCGCCCCTCGCCGGGAGCGGGCGGAGAGGGGCCCAGCCGAGAAGGGGCGCCGGGGAAAGAGACCCGCACCCGAGTGGAGGGTCTGAGAAGCAAAAGAGTGCCAGAGAGGCGCTCTCGGAGAAAGAGGGAGGAGAAGCCACAAAACCAGCCGGGAGGGGTCATCTCGCGCAGGAACCGGAGAAGTCCCGCCCTCTGGAGAGAAGAGCAAGCCTGCTGGGGTCCCCACGAATAACAGGGGCCCGCAGCACCCTCGCCCCTATGGGGAACCCCAGGAAGGAGCCCCAAAGAGTTTGAGCTGCAGAGTTGAGGATTTCGCACACCAAGGAAGCTGCTAGACCCACTGGGAAGGGTGCTTCATTACTGATTCTGGAGTTGCAGGACCTGTCGGGAGGGGTGCCTCACCAGATGTGCTGGGCAATAGTCTGAAGGGCTTGTGCTTGCCCTGAGGGTCTCTCTTCCAGGGAGAAATGGGCTGTATGAACCACCACGACAGGCTCCCCTGGCAGAATGAAGCTGCAGTCTCCTGGCCTCCCTATCAAGGCATGGAACCGCCAGGAATGAGCCACACAAGGTGCCCACGTGTTAGATACAGAAATGGAGCTTCCCCTGGCAGGCCATCCCCACCCAGCCCAGATCCTTAGCAGTATGACCCAAGGAGATACCATGCCAGACAGGAACTTGTTGCAGTTATCAGACAGGGGTGCCCCCACAGAGGCTGCCAACCCAGAATCTTCAAGTTTGGGGGTGGACAGAAAGGTCAAGAATACTGACTTTGGGGGTCAGGCAACCCTGGGGCTTGACCACCTGTGGGCTTTGAACCAGTTACTAAAGCTCTCTATTTCCATATCTATTTAAAAAAAAAAGTGGAGGGAGGAATGCTGGGCTGTTGTGATGAGATTGTGCCTGCAAAAAGCACTTGGCATGTAATATAGTAGGTGCTCCGTAAATGCTGGCCGGTATTATTAACGGGCTTCCCAGGTGGCGCTAGTGGTAAAGAACCCACCTGCCAATGCAGACGCGGGTTCGATCCCTAGGTGGGGAACATCCCCTGGAGGAGGGCATGGCAACCCATTCCAGTATGCTTGCCTGGAGAATCCCCATGGACAGAGGAACCTGGTGGGCTACAATCCTTGGGACCGCAGAGTTGGACATGACTGAGGCAACTGAGCACACATTATTATTAACATCTGAACCAAGATCATCAGATCAAATTTGCACAGACTCCTTCTCAGGATCTCTTGTGCAAGGTGGGATGGTCTGACTGACAGCACTCCATCTGCATCTCGGCTCTAAGATAACCACGTTCCCTGAACCCCGGCCACAGTGTACAGAACACGGTGCCCAGACACCCGGGATGTGCAACAATGAGGTCCATGTTGCTTGCACGAGCTCATTTGAATTCCTCCCAAGCTGAGAACGGCTCTCACAAGCCCCAGCTCGTGGAGCGGCAGGACTTGCAGAATTCAAGGTTAACGGATTATGAATTGCCTCACTCTGGTGGGTGAGTCCCTGCTCCCTGGCAGCTGCTGCTACCCTGCCTGGGGGTAGGTGAGAGTAATTGTGGGCAACGTTCCTGGCAGGAACCCATATGAAGGATGGCCAGGGGTCCCCAGACTTGTTTATTAGATCCCTTTTCTGGCCTTAGGCAAGGCGTTCCCAACTATTTTGAGAAGGAAGACTTCCATTCAATAATGGTGGCATTGAAAGTATTGGTCGATAGAGAAAATAAATCACGGCCAAGCAGCTAAAAGGAATTCAGTAGCGCGTTTAAACGGCTGTACAATATTCATCAGAGGAGCATCTGTACACATTTGAAAACCAATCCCTCGGATGTTGGCTTGAGATGGTAGCACGTGTGCATATGTGTAGGACTCAGGGACCTAGAGGCTGGGAACCGTGTCGCGGTTGTCCAAAGCGAGAAGAGCCCGGGTGACATGTGTCTCAGAGACCACTCTCTCCTAAGATATACCTAGAGGAAGCACAGAGGGGGTTGATATTTCCGTCTAAGATACTCTTCCATTTGGATGCTCAGCACCAAGGAGAAAAGAACATGAACAGCATTAATGAGTATGTTGCAGAGTCAGCAGGTGTCATGAGCTTGGGAGAACAACAAGGCAGGGAGGTGCAGAGAGGAGAGGGTAGCAGGTTGTGGCATTAAATCAGGGCTGCAAGAGGATCTCAAGGGAAGGTGACTTGGGAGCGAAAGTTTGAAGGAAGGTGGAAGCTGGCCATGGAAATATCCCAGGAAAAGAGGTTTCAGGAAGAAGGAGCAGCCAGTGCAAAGGCCCTGGGGTAGGGGATAACTGAGAGAGCAGTGTGGTCAGAGCTGAGTGGGCAGGGGGAGAGCAACAGGGGGAAGAGTAGAGAGGAAACCGGGGGAGGGGACAGGTCATGGTGCGCGGAGTCTGTTACAAGGACTCCAGCATTTACCCTGAGTTGGGAGGGAGCCTGGGGAGGTTCTGAGCAGAGGAGAGATGTCTGCTCAGAGTATAAGAGGACCACTCAGGATGCTGGATTAAGAAGGCAGAATTCCCTGGTTGCCTAGTGGTTATGACGCTGTGCACCCAACACAGAGTGGGACAAGTGTTCGATCCTTGGTTGAGGAACTAAGATCCTGCAATGCCCTGCAGTGTGACCAAAAAAATAATAAATTAAAAAAAAAAAAAAAGAGGTCAAGAAAGGAGTAGCTGGGGGCTAGTGTGTAAAACTGGGCAAGTAATGCCAGTGGCCCAGACCAGGGCAGTGACGATAGGGCTGTGCATCTATGTCAATTTTAGAAGCAGATCCTGGGACTTCCCTGGCGGTCCAGTAGTGAAGACTTCACCTTCCAGGGCAGGGGGTGCGGGTTCAATCCCTGGTGGAAGAGCTAAGATCCCACATGCCTTGCAGCCAAAATAAAAACCGCCATAAAACAGAACAAATATTGTAACAAATTTAATAAAGACTTTAAAAATGGCCCACATCCCAAAAAAAAAAAAAAAAAGCAGATCCACTAGGATCTGAGGTGGGATGTATAAGACGCCTTCGAGGTATTTGGCAGGAGGTCCTGGAAGAAGAGCATTGCCGCAGATGGGGCAGCTGAGTTGGAAAACGTGGGCACAGGGCTCAAGGAAGCTCCACAGTTCTCACTGATTTTACCCTAGGCCTTGCACTTAAAGTAGTCTGGGGCTTCCCAGGTGGCACGGTGGTAAAGAATCTGCCTGCCAACACAGGAGATGCAAGAGACACAGGTTAGATCCCTGCGTCAGGAAGATCCCCTAGAGTAGGAAATGGCAACCCATTCCAGTATTCTTGCTTGAAAAATTCCATGGACAGAGGACCTTGGCAGGCTATAGTCCATAGGGTCACAAAGAGTCAGACATGACTGAAAGCGCATGTACGCACGTGCACGCGCACACACACACACACACACACACACACACTTGCACTCAAAGTGAAGATGGAACAGTGGATAGAGTTTGTGCCACTGGAGGGAGCAGCTGCTTGGGTCTACACATCCTTCCTGAAACAAACCCAAGCTCACGAGCAAGCCCCTTGGATAGGATTTATCCTCAAATAGGGATGAATTACCTTGAGTGTGGACAGGTGTTAAAGAAAAATTATTCATGACGCTGGGTAAGGCGGTAAAGCAGCCTTTATTCAGGGACCACAGCAAAAGGAGTTTTGCCCCAGGAGAGAAATGAAGCTCAACTCTGAATACGAGAACAATAGGGGATTTAGAGCCAAGGAGGGCGGGGGTCAGCAGATGGAGGAAACCTGAAGGCTGGAGGGATTCTAGCTAAAGTGACTTGACGGGATTCCTGCTAAAGAAGAGTAAGAGGTCCAGAGTGGGGAATGAGGGACTTGATCGGGTTTCAAGGCTGAGGGATTCTAGCTAAACTGAGCCAGTAGGATTCTTGCTAAAACTGGCCTAGGCAGGCCAAGGACAGGACCCAAGGTCAGAGCCTATAGCTGAGAAGAGAGCTCAGAGGAGCCTGACTCAGGTTTGGCGGAGGAGAGTCTTTGTCTGGGTGTGGTCGGGGTGGAGCTTGTTTACAAGGCCAGAAATGTGGGCCCATACCTCTGTCCCCTCCTCTTTATTTTTTTATTTGGCTGCATCGGGTCTTAGTTGCTGCACGTGGCATCTTCCATCTTCGTTGTGGCATGCAGGATTATTTTGATTACGGCATAAGAACTCTTAGTTGTGGCATCTAGTTCCCTAATCAGGGATGGAACCCAGGCCCCCTGCATTGGGAGCATGGAGTCTTAGCCACTGGACCACAAGGAAGTCCCCTGTTCTCTCCACTTTAGACAGAGTCAAGGACTCCCGGGCCACAGCAGTGAAAGCACCAAGTCCTAAGCACTGGTTGCTGTGTTTAGTCACTCAGTCGTGTACATGAGGTCACTCTGTGACCCCATGGACCGCAGCCCGCCCAGGCTCCTCTGTCCATGGGATTTCCCAGGCAAGAAGTCTGGAGTGGGTTGTCACTGGACAGCCAGGCAATTCCCCAGTGCCTCTGCCGGCCCCAGGACAGAGTCTACATGCCCCAGTTTGCCCTTGCAGGTCCTAGGCGGCTGGCCCTGCCTGCATCTCAGTCCCTGGACCTGCCTGTCCCACATCACTCTGACCTCCCTGGGCTCAGAATAGGCCCCCAGGCCCCCGCCCACCTCCCTCTGCCTGGATGACCTTGCTGCGCTTATCCTGTGTGTTCTTCCAAATGTGGTCACACATCGCTCCACACACGGCAGAGCCTTGCCTGGCCCCATCTCCCACCATCCGGCCTTTGTCACCGCTCCTCCGAGGTGTGATGTCTGTGTTCACACTCCTCTCCCCCACAGGCCCTGGGGGGAGGGTGTCGTCCCT